ACCCAAGGATGGAGCTGGAGCAAAATGTTTGGGGGGGCCCAAAATATATATATATTTTTATAACCCACAAATATAAGTATATAATATACATAACATAATTTCACTAAGTAATTATTATCTACCAAAAATTATTATAAGTTAAAACAAAAGTAAAAAAATCATTGTATGTAATAGATATTCAAACATAAAATAATGTAAAATATGCCATACATACCCATTATATGTAATCAAATCTCTAACTAATCTAATTAATAAGAAACTCAAAATTTAACCGTCCAGCACTTCGGGGTTTATTGATCTCTCTTTGCAGGACGTGTTTAAAACCACCAAGATCTGGATTTTAATCTCAGATCTCTTTTCCTCTTTCCCCAAAAACTTTCTCATTGTTCAAAAAAAAAAAAAAAAACTCAAAATTTAACCAAGTGGCAATTCATTCGTTCTGCAACTGAACTCAATGAGGCTGGGGTCGAGTTCCAGAAAAACGAGGGGGATTTGTTTGATATAGAGTTTCAAAAGGGGGTGTTGTCAATTCCAACCCTACAAATTGACGATGATACAAAATCCATCCTTCGAAATTTGGTTGCTTATGACCAGTGCTACACGGGCATTTCCTCAAAACGCTTCACGGATCATATTACATTCATGGATTGCCTCATCAACACAGGAAAGGACGTTGAATTACTTTGTCGCTGTGGGGTTCTTGATAATTGGTTGGGTGATCATAAAGTTGTTGAATAGTTTATAAATGATTGAAATTCCACACCAATAAAGTATGGAAATTTAAAGAAGTTTATAAATATTTATTTTTTATCAATAAATAATTAAATAAAGTAAAACTAAAAAAAAATTGGGCCTTGACCCTTTATATATAATCAAAAGATGAACATGCCAGAACATTTTTAATTTTTTATTATTTTCGAATTTTTTATTTTATTTTATTAACATGTCTAAAAATCAAACATGATTATTGACAGTCAAAAAATACCTTTATGAAATGGTGTCTTTGGAGGAATACATTTTTTCAAATAGTGACTTTTCAAGTATTATAAATTTTTATGCAATGTCAAAGTTCTACATCTAATTCTGAGAGAGTTTTAAATTTTATTGTATCTTAGAAGATTTTAAATTCTTAAACAAAGTGAGATACGTCTCAGAACAATTCTTTTTATTCTTCTGTTATTTAATATTTCTTAACAAAAGTCGTTGCCACCATGTTTAACAGACTCCGAGACTCTGTTTTCATCTCAGAAACGAACTTCTTCTACTCCGAGATATTCAACAGAGTGAACAAACATTGCAACGGAAAGAGGAACTCGTGGAAGGCCAACTTACGGCACAATTACTTTAATACTCCATGGGCATTGATTTCCTTCATTGCTGCGGTCATTCTGCTTCTATCTACTTTGTTGCAAACTTTATTTTCAATTCTCTCTTATCATCATTAATCAGTTTGACCATTTGTAATACAATGTTATGTATTCCGAAAAAAAAAAAAAAAAAGTAGC